CAGCCTTCAGTCGTTTTTGGAGCTGATGCAGGTGCTCCTGCACCAGCTAACACACAAACACACCCATAAATATCCACACAAACAGTCTTCTATAGCCAGATCAAGAAGTGAAGAATCATGGGTTACTGTAGCAGTTACACTGGCGACTGGAAATATCATACAGTGTCCTTTTTTCACTTGACAAAGCTGCTGCTGTAATCTTCTGCAAATCTTTTTATTAATTTTTAAAACACACACCCTCAAGTACAGCACCTTTGAAAATCTAACTCTGGCTTTTGAACCAGCTCTTATAAATACTGGGCAGTCCTAGTGACTATATATCAGAATAGTTTGTCTATAAACTATATACAGTATTTACCACCAGTTTCTATGGCAAGAGATTACCACTGCATTTTCTTTTTGGCTAGCTATAAATTAGAAATAAAAGCAGGAAAATGGAGAGTTATTGCTGCCTAATCCTCACTTGAGTATTTTAAAATGTCTTTAAACTGTCTCATTTCTTCAGCAAAATTCCCCCAATTCCTTCAATCTCTGCATAGTAATTGTGTCTTCTGTAATTTCTGCCAGTTCCAGTGATTTGGACTTAAGTCGTTGAAAACTGTCCCTCAGTATCTGCATTAACAGGGAACACTGCATGCTTATTAGAATAGTGTGTGTCTGCACTACACCATTATAGCACCTAGACTACGCTTAAACTGCCATGGTTTCATTGTATTAGAATTCTGAGATTCATACATTGGGATTTAGGATTCACTGCTGAATTCTCTAGCACAGAATTCTTAGTATCTTGACAATAACAATTACATGCTGGATAGCTCAGTGGTTTAGGTATCTGACTGCAGAGCTAGAAGTTGGGAGTTTGATGCCTTGTTATGCCTCCTTGACAGGAGTGGACTTGATGATCGAGAGGACCCCTTTCCAGCTCTGCAGTGCTAAGATTATTATAATATTATTATTAAGATGATTCTGAGTCATGGTAACTCTTTCCAGGGTTTACCAGATATAGTGTCCTCAGAAGTTTACTATTCCCTTCTTGTGAGGGCATTCTGGCACTGTGCAGCTTGCTCTAGGCCACATAGGCCTTCTCTTCAGCAAATGAAGGAACTGAACTCCCATCCAGCCAAGAGTTCCATCTCAGTGAGCTTTCCAACCAGCTACTCAGACTACAAATCACAAGATTTCTCAGTGCAGAGCCACAGCTGTTAAAGAATCATGTAGATAAACTCCCCAGTCACCAATGGCCTACAAGTAATATTGCATTGTGAATTGCAGATTGGGCTTAGCCTGGAAATGTCTGGGTTCAAATCTCTGCTCAGATCCAAAGCTTGACTGGGCAACCTTATTTATGAGCTTCTTGAAGGACAAATGATATTAAAATATTATTACTGTAACTAAACACCAATGATGATTCTGCAATTGGAGATTATGTCCCTTTACAGGTGTCCTGAATCCAAAGCTGCATATTGATACAGCAATCGCTTCTTGAGTAATGTGGAGAAAATGTTACAGTTCTTTGTTGACCAAATAAGAACTGTTTACCTGAATTTATAGTAGCTGTGAGAAGGGCAGTGTCTGTTTTCACTACAGCAAGGCAATGGACCAAGATAAGATAATTTTTCTCTTGTTAACCCTTACTTGTTATCATCACATGTATTGAAATCTGCTAATATTTCTGCTCAGTTAAGAACACTTAAGCCTTGTAGCCTGATAGGTGGTATAAAAGTCAAATGAACAGACGGATGGACAAACAAAACATCTGCAAATCATAGTTATTACAAAACCAGTAATTTTTGGAAGGGTACATGGAAGTCAGATATATTGGCCACTGCTGAAATGACTACATATAAGCCTCTGTTGGAAACAGTATGCTAGATCAGATGGCTTGGTCTACTGCAGCTGTTCTTAAGCTAGAAGCTTTCTATTGTTCTGTGACTGACCTTGGTCAACTAAAACACTACCTATATATGTATCTTTAAAATTAATGCTGTTACTGCACTGGTGATGATATAATAACAAAAGAAAAAGAACACGGTATCCTGTTCTCTTGCTATAAAGTGGGGTATGAGCTTGCAGCAGTAGGACAAAACATAACTGATACACATGGGAAATGTACTGCTTTGGTAAGTTAAATTTAGGAAACATAAATCATAGAGAGAAGGAAACCACTTTGCTTATTTTGACAGCTATAGACTGAGAGAGAGAGATCGAGATCTACATGAGCTTTTCCACTTAGAAAGCATAGTGATAAAGCACTAAGGCTCTAAAAAAAGTAATATGTGACAAAATTTATTTATTTATTATTTATATATTATTTCAATTTAATATCCCACATAACAACTCTGAGCAGTTTACAATAAGCACACAATCACATCATTAATATAATAAAACCATAAACAATCTAAACAAATAAAAACAGAGGGCACCAGAACATTATTAAAACTACATGAAGCAGAAAATGAGAACAAAAATGCAAATAACAAATGGCTGGACAGAGATGGAAGATTACCTCACTCAGCTAGGATCTGAGTGTTTTTAATTAGTTCTTAAATGTCAGCAGGGAGGGGGCATTCACAAAGAAGGCCCTTCCTCTCGCAGAAGATTTATGGACTTCTCTCTAAAGGTGGCTACCTAAAGGAGCCTTGTCTACAATGACCTGGTGGATCAGGCAGTTGACTTGGGGGGCCAGATGCTCTGACAAGTAACATGGGCCCACACTATGGAAGGTGTGGAGATTAAAATATAAGTTGAAAGTGTTCCTAAAATAGAACAGACATGGAACAATGGCATCGAAAAGCAGGGTGGTGGAGACTCACCATTTACTAATATTGCAGACTCTATATGATTGGTACCAAACCTTTGAAACAACCCATATTCCACTCATAAGTCTTCTTGGGAGGGGAAAGAACTAAATAACAAAGTTGGAGCCCAAGCACAAGGCAGAGACTGAATTCTCATGGCCAGGATCTGATGGTTGTTGTACGTTTTTTGGGCTGTCTGGCCATGTTCTGGAGCTTTTTCTTCCTAAGAAGAAATACCTCCAGAACATGGCCAAACAGCCCGAAAAACCTATAACAACCAGGGATGGAATATTTGTATGTTATCATGCATTAGGGACTGAGGTTCAAGACCAGGAAATGTAATTTTGGACTACTGTACAACTTTCAGATACCAATGATGTTGGCTAGAAATTCTGGTACTGTAGTCCAACCATTAGTAATGTTTGCAAACTCTGCTGGGATTAAATTACAGGTCATGCTTGAGAATAATTCCAGAAATGCAGTTCCCTATATTTTTATTTTTAAAATCCAGATCTTGTGATATTTACTGAAGTCAGTCAGAAGCAGTGTTTGCAAAGGCAAAACAAGCAACATCCTAAACAGCAAAGGCCAAAGAAGACATCACTTTGAAGCTGTAGCTAGCAGTCCCATCTGTTTTACTTTAAAGTATCTTCAGGGGCTCTGTGAGAAGCAGGACTTTATGGTCACAATTCAGATGAGGCCTACCATGCCCTGAACAAAGGTATCTCCATTCACATAACATAATTAACCATGTGAGAAAGGGTTAGATGGGAAAACACAGTATCTCATGAAAAGTACTTTATGCATTACTATTTTTACCTCAGGATAGGCATGTAGGTCAACTCAAGTGTTACAAGTGCTCAAGCAACACCACCTATTTCATTTTAAACATTCTTAAAATCTATAATCAGAAAAATAGCCNTAGTAGTGTAGTAGTAGTAGTAGCAGTAGTAGTAGCAGTAGTCGTCGTCATAGTTGTCGTCATCGTAGTAGTAGTAGTTCTTATAAACATAAAGGAACATGAGGAAATAAGGAATAGATGAGTGGGACCTTGTATCCCCACTTCCATAATTCTTCACCATTAGCCATGATGGCTGAAGCTTCAGGCAGTAGGTGTCCAAAATAACTGGAGGACGTAGTAGTAGCAGTAGTAGTAGCAGTAGTCGTCGTCATAGTTGTCGTCATCGTAGTAGTAGTAGTTCTTATAAACATAAAGGAACATGAGGAAATAAGGAATAGATGAGTGGGACCTTGTATCCCCACTTCCATAATTCTTCACCATTAGCCATGATGGCTGAAGCTTCAGGCAGTAGGTGTCCAAAATAACTGGAGGACCAAAGCCTCCTCATCACTGGCCTATGGTAAAGGATTAAAAGAAGAAATCAGATACTGTAATCTACAATAGGATAGAATGAGATAATATGGGGTAGCAACATTCAGAGATAACATAAATTTCCAGAGGGGTAGGTACCAAAACAACAAAGAGTCATTTGACACCTAAACAATTTTAATTGGTATGAGCTTTCATGGACTTTCAGTTGAAGTGGGTTGCAATCTACAAAGTTTTATGCCAAATGAAATGTGTGACTCTTCCAAGTGTCACAGGCCTCTTTGTACTCTTCAGGTGCTACGGCCTAAACAACTTCCCAGTGTTTCCTCATGTTACAAGTCTCAGTGCAAGTAAAAAAAAAAAAACTACTAGCACACCCAGTGAAATGCTTTGGCCCTTCCTGTTTCCAATGGCACCAGCATACGGGAGCATTCATAAATGTATTCAGACTCTGCATTTCAAAGTGATACAGCTCATTCTACTACCTCAGGATTTCCCCCTGTCATTAGGAAGCATGTGTAGTGCAAGACTTAGAGCATACCAGAAGCTTGGGAGATTTTACTGATGGCTCATCATCAGTAAAATCCCTTTAGGCACAAGACGCCCTAACTAACTGAAGCTCGTGGGCTTGTTTGTGGTAGTGGTTTACCTTATATTATTCATTACTTGTCAAACTGAGGCTTTTAACCTTTCTCAGAAAAAAAAATTCTCTGTGTTTGTAACCAAACTGCATGGCTTCTTTTAGAGAAGGAGGAGCAGATGAGTGAGGGGAAAGCGCAAAGGGTGTGAGACACAAAGCAGCAGCACAGTAAAGCAAAAATCTGTTGGCAATCTCCTATACATGATGGGCTACTAACTGGTCATCCTAAGAATGGCTGCCACAACGAATTCATACTGGGCCAATTAACACTCTTCTGTTCTCCGATTGTCACGGCTGCTGGCATTCAAAAGGCAACACATGCCTTAATTACCTCCGCTCAGCCACAGCATGTGATTTGCTTCAGAATACAGGGCACTTTGTTTTAATAGTTTTAATTTCATCCAGGAGGCTGAGCTGCCCTCTAATCTTCTGTGTGAGGAAAGCTGTCCTCTTCTCCACCACCTCTTTCAATATTTCCAACCCCTCATAGCCAAGAGCAGGGTAATAATTTACTTCCTGGCCTAAGCCACTCCTTCAGAATATTCCTGTGACCTTCAGACTAATTCATAAAAACAGAAACACCCAGTCAGGAGGCAGAGAGGGGAAAACGAAGAAAACCTCTGTAGTTAAAAGATGACATTCTTCCGCTTCTGGAGAGACACCGGGAGTTCAACTTTATACAACAGCCTCCTATAACAGGTGAAGTTCAGATCTGCATGTTTATTTCATATTCAGATTCTGTTAAAGAAGCACTAAAAAAGCATGTTTTCAGGAAAACTGGTAACACTGTGGAATGTATGCATAGGAGTGCCTTGGAAAGTGTCTAGTTGTTTGCATTCTTTCCCAATTGCCAGGGATCAGTTTGTTTTACAGTCCAGATCAGATGAGTCCGGATCACAACACTGGTTATATCCTAAGATGTTGTTAAGGTAGGACGTTAACTTCTTTCCAAATTAGGTTTGCTTTGAGCTTTTGTGGGCAACAGCCTTGTGCAAAACATTGCTCTGAGAGATCTTTTTAGATATAGGAACCGGTAAATACACTGATTATGCTACTAAATGAAATGCCCAACAAACCGTGTGCTTAATTAGCAGTGCAGAATTTCTTGAACTGGAAACCTAGCACTCGTTTAATGTTCATTCAACAAAGTTTAATGCAGGACAAAGTTGTTGCAGGTTTCCCAGCAGCCTCAAGTTCCTAATTTTGAGAAAGTAGCATTAAGGGCCGTATAGAAACAGAGCAGATGTTCACAATCAAATGTTTAGGCATAAGTTGGCTCTTGAGCTTTAAGAGTTGTTTCGTTTGTTGTAGACCCCTTCAGAATACTTTATACCTAAAAAAAAAATCCCTGGGAAGATTCATCATAAGCTGGAATCAACTTGACAGCATGCAGCTGTTATTAATATTGTTGTCTGTTTTTAAAGAAGGTTAAAGACTTGGAATGATTGCCAATCAGAAATACAAATATAAGCAAAAAATAGTAGTGATTTTGAATGCATATCATGTGGAACAAGGGATATTTTGGTAAGCAAGAATCAGCAGCGAGATAGTGGTGGGTACAAAAAGAATTGCTGTCTATTGCTCCTGTGTTGCCAATTATGTGGAAGATGGTGGGAGACCCTCAGAGACTAATGAGCTGGAGGCAGCAACTGGAATGCATAGTCCCTGAACCTAGATACTGTATGTTGTTTGTGAAGAAGAGAGACCAGCGCTTGGAAGTGTTTGATCTACAACTTTTTGATCTACAATTCTCTTAAAAGCAATTTTCCCAAGTTCTGGCTTGTGTGAAAATGAGTGGCGTCACCTGCAATCTCAGCCGATGTCATGAGTCTTGGCTGTGATGTTGTGAGGTAGACGTATTGATATTTGGCCCGGAAGGGCAATGGTTGCAGTAGGGTGCTTGGTCTTTGTCAACAGAGAACTTCCTTGTGTGACCAAGAGCTTCTCCTACACCAAGGGGGGAGCACTGCTCTCAGCAGTGGGTGAAAAGATAGTGCAGACAAGGCTTCACATATTGAAGACAGAAGGTATGGAAGAGGGTTGCAATAGTTTCCTTGTATAGAATGGTTGTCTCTTTCCCTTGCTTATTTCTATAGGATTGTTCTTCATGGACCACGCAGCCACCCATTGTTGGACTGGGAAGTGCTGTTGGATGTTTGTGTCTGAAATGCCAGGGGGAGGTATTATAATCCTAAATACAGAACAGTGGGCAGTCTGGTCCAATTCCTTTGTGTCAGGGAACACAACACAGATAAACTGTTTTTTGCTAAGTGTTATGACCATGCTCTCAAATGTATAACTCTAGGCAATGTATCTTGTTCTATTATACTCTCTCTCTGTGAGGTTTATGTACTTTTTGTGTTACACTAGATTGTGTGCTGATTTGTGTCATGTCCTATACCCTGTTATGATGGTTTGGGAGGGGCATAAAAGCAATGGAAAGTTGTAATTTTATTTTGTTCTGTTTCCCTCTTCATTTTGTTAAATGAAGTAGATGTAGTGGAATCAGGGCTCAGAGGGTCAAAGCTCTTAGACATTCTGAATAACAGGGACTGTTGTATGTGGCCTGCATAATTAACTTGTTAACAGCTCTTAGACATTCTGAATAACAGGGACTACTGTTGTATGTGGCCTGTGTAATTAACTTGTTAACCACATAGAGAGTGCTTTAATCACTAGGTGGTATATAAGCAGGACACTTTTTTGCCTTGCACAGTCACCATTCTGTTTATCACTGTCCAGCTGAAACCTGAGGAAATGTCACATAACCTGTATCTTTATTTCATATATTCTGTCCTATCTTCTGGCCATGGTGTGGCTTACAGTTTTCAACAGAAAGTTTAAGTAAAATATCGAGCAGCTGGGGGAGGGTGGGATTTGGCAGTTAGAATTATATAAAATTTGCTTAACCCGACTATCATTCACCAGGTGCAGGGGGAACACTGAGTTACTTGTGGGATATTTCTTGACCTCGGCAGCAATTCCAGGCTATCTCTCTTTGTGACCAGCACATCACTTGATCTTTTTTGGGGTGCAGTTTGACTGCAAAAGAGTGTGTTACTCTGTGTACTGTATCTGTGGGTGTGGTTATGAGTTTTGCCAGCTAAGTGTGGGACCCAGAAACCCTGCATATTTCATCTTAAAATCCTTATTGTCGCTAACCAAGCTTTAAGAGAGCCATTTCACCATTTTAGAATGGAAGGGGAACATTTTAATATCTGAGAAGCCACCAGATGATAATGTCATGGAAGAAACAGCATGGCCTGCTGGTGACAATCAGCTTCAGGTCCTGATGTTTCCATCACTTATGTTAGCAGCCAAGTCGAAAAGAGGAGGGGGGAAAACACCTGCTATATGTTTTCTGCTTCGATTTTCTGCTTCTGAAGTGACCTGCTTCAGAAAATTCAAGTGAGAAGAATGTATTGAAACCCTAGTGGGATCTCCTTTGTCTTTTCTATTTTGCTTTCAGGTGGATAATGTCCATTGAATAGAAAGAATGGAGAAGAACTTTATAGTGAATGCAGAACTCAGCAATAAGTTGGTTTTGCTGTCATGTAATGTCTGAAACAACTTGACTCATAGGGCTGGCTGGAGACACTAAAAACTTGGTATGCAAATTCTGGCCTTTTCTGTTCAGAACTCTCTCTGCACTGAAAGAATCTTGGCTGCTTAATACTTAATTGTGCTCTTTAATGATTAAACAACCTAGTTCTTCTTTTGGCTGTGGATACTATGAGGGAATCAAAAGGCATGGAACACATTGATTCTCACACTTGTTACCATGTTGTGTGCAGTACAGTCTATCAGCCTACAGGACAATATGTACAGATAGGATAATTTACAGCCCAGTTCTGCTACCGTAATTCATTCTGACAAATGTTCTGATGCAGTATACAGAAATATGAACTTCTTGGGCAGAGAATACATAGTCTTTTTATGCACCCCTTAACTATTTATGAACAATTTAAGAAATACTGTACCTGGTATCTGTTAACATTTGTAGCTCAGCCATCCCATGCTCTCTTCCTCCCCCTTTGGAATTATGCAACTGAAGTTTATTTTGGTTTTTTCATTTTAATTTTACCTTCAAGCTGTGCTGACTCAGTGGTTCTCAGAGTTGTAATCCAAAAAAATTAACGTTTCCAAGCTCTTATTCTCTTCATCTCATACAATTTTGTAACAAGGGAAAAGGTTTTTCTCCCCATTCTTCCAGTTTATCATGAAAGAATGCAGTTTAACAGGATGCCTGTCCATATTGCACTTTGGAAGCTGTATTACACTTTTAAAATCCTTTTAAATACTGTAGTTTCTTTCAAGAACTAAAAATACAACCCCCCTGCTGAAGTTTGTAATCCACAACTCTCTCTCTCTCTCTCTCTCTCTCTCTCTCTCTCTCTCTCTCTCTGTGTGTGTGTGTGTGTGTGTGTGTGTTTCCTTTGCTAATTGGTTGCAAATTGGAAACTTGTTACTGAGAAGCAAAGATGAACTTAAGGGGAAGTGTTGGCCTGTGCTAGACTCCATTCCCTTCAACAAACAGCAACAGAAATAAACTAGATTTCTGGAGGAAACAAGAAAACACAGGAGGATGAGAATCCAGATGGAACATTTGTTTTCTGTCAATGTTTTTATTGAGAAAAGCCTTGTGCCATGTGGATTGGAAGGGGAATAGGGACAGCAGCACTAAACCAGGTGTATTTTGGGAAACAGACACTCCCTCTGAATAAGTTCAAAGAGGATGAACTAAAGCTAACCCAAAGTCATCCAGGGTACTTCATGACTGAGTAAAGTTTGAACCCAGGCCAAGTTTGATTTTAGCCACCTCACAGTAGCTCTCTCTAGTTTACAACATGATTATGTACTGTTTTGTTCTCAGTTGTTGAACTCGGTCTTCTGTTTGCCTTCTGATATTTCCCTGGCTGGTTATGTAAGCCGGGGAAGGGCAAAAGGGTAGCTTACCTAGTGCTTACTTGTTATTGGGACACTTGTAATGAATCCTGCACTGGATGGACAAAGCTGGATCTAATTCTACAAGGCCTTCTCAGGCAAAAGTGAATTTCATGCAGAATTTGGGAAATGGTTTAGCAGTAAGTAAAGCATTGCTGTTGTGTTCAAAAACATGCAGCATTGCAGTGCTCCATGCTTTTACAGTATTTTATTCTTTCTGTTACTGAAAATAAAGACCATAGGACAGATAAGCTGGTGTAAAACTTGAAAATGCCTGTCAAAATTCCTCTACAATGCATTAAAATACTAGAAAACAATATGCAGTTTACTAAGAGAGTAACTTTGTCCCAAGTCATTATTTATTTTTCAAATGTGACTTCAGTACACCTTTACTGTCAAAAGTGCTACCCTTATTACAGGTCCAACAGCATGTTTCTTTGAAACTTTGAGATGGCATAAAAGAGATTAGATATGCCTCAGCTGTTAAGGGGTTCTGAAGACATTGCCTTGCTTTGAAAATTTAGAACACATTAGTGAACAAAATAAAACATTAACCAAGGCTTACATCAGCCCATACTACTACTACTACTACTGCTACTGCTACTGCTACTGCTACTGCTACTATTACTACTACTACTACTACTACTACCAGCAGCAGCAGCAGCAGCAGTAGTAGTACATGCCATCAAGTCAATTCTAATTTACAGCAACATTTTCCAGAGTTTTCTAGGTATATGGTACTCAAAAGGTATCTACCATTTCCTTCTTCTGGGATGCTCTGGGCTGCTTGTGAAGGATATAAAGACTGGCTTTTCTGCTACAAGACACACTGGGGAACTGAACTCCCAGACCCTGGTTCCACAGCCAGGTGCTCCAGCTCACAGAGATATCTGCTATCAAACGTGCATTGGCTAAGAGCTTTCTGGTGCTCAGCTATAAATCAGTCACTGCAATTTGGCGAAATTAGATGAAAACAGATTTAACTGCTGAAATATTATGCATCGAGACACTTTGTATAAGTAGCATAGTAGGGAGAATTTATTAAAATAATTGAAGAAGCCATTCTTTTGTGTTTTGTCCAACATGTTTAATTTGCTTGACCTGGATATCAAGGTCTCCGATATTGCCATTCCTACATCTTCTTATGGCTTCCTCTAGTTCCACTAACAAGAAGTCAGTAGAAAGTTCATTGGATTTGCTCTGAATATCACTTTGATACTTTTGCATTGTTTGGTCTTCTGTGCCAGGAGCAGTTGGTGTGCTATTTGGTTGGGATTTACATTGCCCTTTTGTTTGGATTGTTCTTCAGTTTTTTCAGTAGTCTCCAATCTTTCTGGCTGCTTCTTGTCCTGTCAAAGTCTGTTATAGTGTCTATCCAGTGAGGGTTTTTTTCTTTCTGCTGAGATAAAACTTTTCCCAGCTTTTATTGTATGTTCACTAAGATTTTCTTCAAAGTATGAAATATAAGCTCAGTATGTATTTCCAGGGAAGACCTATAATGTTGTTGGTTCAGCACCTTCTTACTGTATAATGGAGGCACAGGAATATTCCAAAATGGAAGTTACAAATTGATCAAAGTTCTCTGGTCGAGGACCAGTCTGAAGCACAGTTGCATCTAGTATTGATATAAACTTTTCCCAGTTGCCTTTTTTTTAATTATACTTCCTACAGAATGGTATATTAGGTCTGCCATAGAATGTGTGTGTGCTGAGTATTTGGGACTGGATTACCTCCACTCTTCATGCACTGTTGAGCTATAAGCTCACTAACAAAAATTAAAACTGGATTTTAGTCTCTATGCTACCCATCACTGTTAAATGAACTGGGTAGTTTAGGATTATGTATAAGGCACATTGAATGGGATTCCACCCATTTTATAATGGCTTTGCCAATTTCATCATCATGGCCATAGCCCCAAATGTTGCTACGGCTGTTGAAATTTCCAACTACAAACTTATTTGCTAGTACAGTGGGGTCTTGACTTGAGAACTTAATCCGTATTGGAAGGCAGTTCTCAAGTCAAAAAGTTCTCAGGTCAAATCTGCATTTCCCATAGGAATGCATTGAAAACCATTTGATCCGTATCTGCTCTTTTCCGTCCATAGAAACTAATGGGAAGCTGCTATTCCGCCTTCGACTACTAGAGGGGGATATTTTGTTTCTTTTTTTCTTAGGTCAAGAAAGGTTCAGGGAAGGCAGGGAAAATACAGTCCAGGCAGTACAGTACCAGGCAGTCTGAAGACTGTCTCCCAATCCACTCTCTAAACGCTGGGAGGAGTGAGGAAGCAGACAGGCATCCTTTTCACTGGCCAACAGTTAACTGAAAGTTCAAATTTTGCACTTTCCCTGCCTCCCACGTGGGTTTTTTCAGTTCTTAACTCAAATCTAAGTATGTAAGTCAAGTCAATATTTTCCTATGAGAGTGGTTCTTAAGTCAAAATGTTCTTAACTCGAGCCGTTCTTAAGTCAAGACCCCACTGTATATAATAATAATCTTGAAACTGCAGAGCTGGAAGGGACTCTATGAATCATTGAGTCTAGCTCCTGTCAAGGAGACACAGTGGGAAATCAAACTCTCAACTTCTGGCTTCGTGTGGACCTGTAGCATGGGCGAAGAGAGAGGACCCATAGCATGATCTGCAGTGTGGATGGAAAGATGGCTCAAATGAGAGTTAAAACAGATCACACTTGAGATAAGAACTTTTTTAGCATGGACCAGTCAGCATTCAAAGTGATCTGCCCTTAGCATCTTACAGAAGCATCCTGCAACTGATCAACTGGAACTTTTGAGAGGCTAGTTCTATTGGCAGCTGGTCCTGTAGCTGTGCACTGTATGTGCAAAGGTGAACATAGTCACTGAGGATCTCAAGCAAAAGGAGAATATATTTTTGTGTGATATTTATTTGTGTGACAATAAATATCAGATTGACAATCCCCACTCAACATATCAGCCTAGTTATTATTATTATTTTATTTGGCAGGGGAAGCAATCCTATGGATGTGTGAATCGCCTAACTAGCTAATTTCTTGGCATGGCAGTAAGTTATTACCGATGTAGGGGTTCTGCTGCTGGCACCCAACCAACATGTAGTCACAATGTTTTGCTTTTTCTTTCTACCTGTAGGACAGCTGATCTTGACATTGATAGAAGGACACAATTTCAGAGACCTCCAAATACTGTATTCCTTCTTATATTCAACAAAATTCTGAACGGGACGGTAGTGCAGAAGGAAGAGGTCACATTTCCCAAGCTCTGTACACATACCCTGGCTTGATGCACCCACCAGGGACAGAAACCCTCTTTACTACACTTGGAAAGACAAAAGGTAGAGTATAACTGATTTTCCCTGATCAACAATTGAATGAGGATGGCCTCTGATATCAAATGAATCATTGGAGTGTGTACTCAAATTGTATTGGATTAAGATGCATTTGTTGCTGTTTATATAATAAAAAGAAAAGAAATTGTATTGTGGCACTTTAAAGATTAAGAGATTTATTTCAGTGTGAGATTTCATGAACCACAGTCCGCTTCCTAGGAAACATTTTTATAACTCCCAACACAGTATTCATTTGTGAGAATTCTTCTATAAATTTAGTAATTATTAGAGAAAACTGTTATGTGTAACAGCATATAATTCCAAGCCAAGGCTGAATGTCCCCCTGTACCCACACTTGTATAATGTTTTTCCTTTCTCGGGGTGTGGTGGGGGATATTCAGAGAATTTTGAGTGATTGGCAAAAACTTATTTTACCTTAGAATGCAACTTTATTTTATAAGAAAAGCCATAAGCATTGCAGTCACTTTCCCTTCATATACTTAGAACCGAATTTATCATCATTCTCTGGAGCAGTGTTGTTCTGAGAAGGGAAATAAAGATCAAGTTTGTCAATTTGTTTCTTCTCAAGAAAGTAAGATTAGCATCAGCCAGAAGAGTTGCTTTTAGTGTGAGCAATAAAGTCCTGATCTTTTGTTATTTACCACTGGACCAATTTTTGTCCTCTTCTTCCATAGATATAGTGAGGGTATATGACACTAGGGTCAACATGAACTGCTGGATAGCTCAGTGGCTTAGATCTTTGGGTGCAGACCCAGAAGTTGGGAGTTTAGTTCTCCACTGTGTGTCCTTGATAGGAGTTGGATTCAGTGATCCATTGGGTCCCTTCCCTCTGCAGTTCTACAATGCTGCTGCTGCTGCTGCTGCAGCTGCTGCTGCTGCAGCTGCTTATTATTATTAT